GAGATGCTAACGGTCTAATCCGATTCAATGATCTATGCTAAGCTAAGCTAAAAGTGCTACCGCCAGACCCGGAGATCGGCTGAATGGATTCGAAAACGGTAAAACTCAACTGTTTAACTCTAGGGGATAAAATTAAAAGAAATAAATAAATAAATGCATTACTGCATTTATTATAATGCTGCATTTAAAAGCATTACTGTTCTCTTTTTTTATATTGGCATTTTAACAACAATTAAAAATAAAATATAAAATAATATATTAAAATTAAAAAATATGTGCAATGTTAATTATAGCACTATGAAGGAAAATTAAAAATGCCCGAAAGTCATTGCATTACTGTTTTCTTTCTTTTTTTCCCCTCTGTATTTTAACAGCAATTAACTTTACAGCAATTAAGAACAACAGCGGTATTGCATAAAAACCATAAAAAAATTAAAATAAAAAAGACAATAAATAAATAAATAAATAAATAATAGCAATATGGAGGAAAATGATAAATGTCTGAATATATTTTATTGGTTTTGGTCTACAGTAAGAACTAATTATTAGGAACAATAGTGGTATTGTATACAATTATATAATGATGTTCTTTGAAATAAACGAAACTTGCTTTGTTTATTTGTTGTTTAATCCAAAAATATAGTGTGACTTGCAAGTGCAAATAATTTTTTCTGGCACCATTTCATATTCATGCACTGGGAAATAAATTATTATTTTGTATTATTTAAGTAATTTCACCTTGCCAATAAAATTGATCAGAAATCTAATTCTGAATGTTTGTGTTTGAGGAACAGTAGCTCCCTCTACCGGTGCAACCTCAAAAATACATCAAACAAGCCTGCTTTCAGTTCACGTGAGTTTCTTCAGTTTCTTCAGGTCTCGCGCGGGGCGTTCTGTCCTTTAGCGCGAGCCTCACCTTGCGCTGTCCGCCCGTTTAGCTAATATTGCACTCAAGGTCTCCGTCACAGCCAAGGTCAGGCTGGCATATTTAATCAGAGATAACACAAAATATGAATCAGCTAATCAAGCAATGATGCTGAGACCTCTGAGGAGGGTCAGTGGAGGAAGCTAATTAGCAGGACACATCTGAAGCATTCAATCAAGTTAATGCATGGTGCGTACACAGATGTGCATGCACTTTTAATGCATCTTTAAGGAAATTGCTCCATGGCCTGTCTGCTGCATGCTAAATAAACGTTCTGGTGTCTCTGGAACAGCAGTTATATGTCAGTGACGGATGCATGACATTTTGTGTTTGTCCGCAGGACTCCGCGGGAGGCCTTATGACGCCTCGTCAAGCGCGCGGGAAAGCTGCCAATCACTTGTGCTTTCTGCCAGTTTTGTAAATAGTTTCCCCTTTCTTTGTTGTTTTGCTGAACGCTGATGCAACATAATAAGTGTGCTAAACGGCTTGTTTGTGAGCTTGACATGAAAGTGCTCCGCGCGCGCTGATCCTTTCACGGTAACTCGGGAGTATTATCTTAATAACGTCTCAGGATTATTGTAGCTTAATCTCATAAAAGAAAATGCCATTACGCTCGCTGCTGGATCCGAAAGAAGATTGCATTTTTATTTCCTATATCAGTCATAGCATATCTGAGGCTACTCTCAGTTGAACGGGTTTATGATTGCACATTAGTTTGCTGTTTTTGACTGTTTTGTGTTGCTCGTTTTTATTGGCTTGTTTTATGGCAGTTAAATCCCATCATTTTTTTTATCCCTATTGTTTCTTAAAGTATGATTGACTTATAGAGCGCCATTGTTTGTGTATGATTTCAGTCCAGCACTGAGTTTGTCTCCTGCCACCCCTCAAACTGTCTGGGAACACGAGTCTTTAACACGAGCGGACTCATTACTGGAGAGGTGTGCTCTGGAGCTCCGCATGAACGCATGTACACTGCACGCGCACGCTCTTAAGGTTCAGGCTAATGATGAGGAGTTATACGACTCGTGCTAATCTTAGAAACGTGCACCCACACCATACTCAGCCAGAGAAGAGTATAACTGACTAGTGCTCAAGAGACGCACTAGCCGGTGGTCTTTAGCCTCTTGTTAGTGCGCCTGCCTCCCATGTCGGCGACCCGGGTTCGAGTCCTGCTCGGAGAGATGTGCGAGTATAGGACCTGGTGGGGTTACAGATGGTCTATAGATAGATATTTATACAGAGCGATATACATACAGGATAGATAGATAGAGAGACGGATGGATAGGATAGATAGATAAAGAGACGGATAGATAGATAAAGAGACGGATAGATTAGATAGATATAGATAGACGGATAGATAGATAGATAGATATAGAGAGACGGATAGATTAGATAGAGAGATGGACGGATAGATAGATATAGAGAGACGGATAGATAAAGAGACAGATAGATAGATAGAGATAGATAGATAAAGAGATGGATAGATTAGATAGATAGATAGATATAGAGAGACGGATAGATTAGATAGATATAGAGATGGATAGATTAGATAGATAGATATAGAGAGATGGATGGATATATAGATAAAGAGACAGATAGATAAAGAGACGGATAGATTAGATAGAGAGACAGATAGATAGATAGATATAAAGAGATGGACAGATAGATAGATAAAGAGACATGGATATATAGATTGAGGGATAGATAGACAGACGGATAGATTAGATAGAGAGACGGATAGATAGATAGATATAGAGAGATGGACAGATAGATAGATAAAGAGACATGGATATATAGATAGACGGATAGATAGACTGCGCTCTTGATTCGATAGATATAGAGAGACGGACAGATAGATAAAGAGACATGGATATATAGATTGAGGGATAGATAGACAGACGGATAGATTAGATAGAGAGACGGATAGATAGATAGATATAGAGAGACGGACAGATAGATAGAGAGACGGATAGATAGACAGATAGATAGATAGACGGATAGATAGATAGATATAGAGAGATGGATAGATAGATAAAGAGACATGGATAGATAGACAGACGGATAGATTAGATAGATATAGAGAGACGGACAGATAGATTGAGAGACGGATAGATAGACAGATAGATAGATAGACGGATAGATAGATAGATAAAGAGACATGGATAGATAGATAAAGAGACATGGATAGATAGACAGACGGATAGATTAGATAGATATAGAGAGACGGACAGATAGATAGAGAGACAGATAGATAGATAGATAAAGAGACATGGATAGATAGACGGATATATAGACAGACGGATAGATTAGATAGATATAGATAGAGAGACGGATAGATAGATAGAGAGACGGATAGATAGATAGCTGCTTTGAAACAGCAGATGAACTGAAGCTGGATGTCAGATGGATGGTGTGTAAGGTTTTCTAGATAGAGAGACAGATAGATAGATAGATAGATATAGAGAGATGGATAGATAGATAAAGAGACATGGATAGATAGACGGATATATAGACAGACGGATAGATTAGATAGATATAGATGGAGAGACGGATAGATAGATAGCTGCTTTGAAACAGCAGATGAACTGAAGCTGGATGTCAGATGGATGGTGTGTAAGGTTTTCAGTCTCGCAGTGAATGAACGCGGATCGAGAGTCCAGCTGTGTGTCGCTCTCAGTGGGAGGAGAAGCAGCACGACACCAGAGCAGCAGTCAGAGCTCCCGCACACCCTCTACCGGAGAACACATCCTCCCGCCCGCCCGCCCGCCCGGTAATCAGAGACATGGATAGATAGACGGATATATAGACAGACGGATAGATTAGATAGATATAGATGGAGAGACGGATAGATAGATAGCTGCTTTGAAACAGCAGATGAACTGAAGCTGGATGTCAGATGGATGGTGTGTAAGGTTTTCAGTCTCGCAGTGAATGAACGCGGATCGAGAGTCCAGCTGTGTGTCGCTCTCAGTGGGAGGAGAAGCAGCACGACACCAGAGCAGCAGTCAGAGCTCCCGCACACCCTCTACCGGAGAACACATCCTCCCGCCCGCCCGCCCGGTAATCTACACCTCACACTCACTCGCTCCGGGAGAGCCGGAGAAACACTTCCACGAGAGCCCGAAACCGACCGACAGCCTCCTCCCGAAAAAGACGCACCTGCTCAGAGTTCGGCCCGCGGCCAGTCCGGGCTTCACGGAACCGACTCCGCCAGAATGGACAAACTTTTCGCGTGCCTCTTCACCGCGATCGGCGTCCTGGTGTCCGCGCGAGCGCAGGTGTTCAAAGGTAAGAGCTCGCGCTGGTTTCCCTCGGATTCGCCTCTGGCAGGAGTTGGGCTTCGGGCATCGCGAGGTCTCCCTTAAACTTGGCGTTGCCGACTTTACGCGTCTCGGTCCGGCACGCCGCGCGAGCGTCGAGTGATTCCGCGCTTGTTTCGGAGTCTCGCGTAAAGTTTGATGGGCATCGGAGGACCGCTGATGACAGGCCGGTAATGACGGGTTCTGATTGAGAAACATCACCGCAGGTGTTTGGATCTTATCAACGGACTTCAGTGAAAAGCACCTGTTTGTGTCCAGCTCTCTCTGCCTGCGCTCTTCAGATGATTTCTCGTAGTTCTTTAGAAACCCAAACGCAGAAACTTTAATATTCTAGAGAAATATGTTTTGGCGAAGCATTTAAGAGTGTGTGTGTGTGTGTGTGTGGGAATGTGAGCTCAGATGCGTTACTCTTTATGGATCTCTGTCTAATGAAACGCATTAGTTCGTTGGATTGATTTATTAATGGCTGTAAGGTGGCTCTCTCGGACAAACCTCAGACATCGCGCTGCTTCACTGAAGTTTTCACAAGCTTCGGAACATTTGTGCATTGTGTGGATTTCTCTGTCAATCACACCTCATAATGCTGATATGCACGTGCATAAGTAATACATCGCACGCGTGTGCATTGCATTCGCTTCTAGTGCATTGAAATGTCGTGCATTCTCGTGCTGTTCAGGAGCGGAGTCCTTAAATAAGCTCTAATTGTGTTTGCTTGTTATGGTGGCAAATAGTCTGTTTAAAGATTCAGAGCCCGTTGGACATATTTTGGATGCAACACAAGCACGTCAGTTCCAATGTAACTCCGATTTGGTTCTCTTGTAGCCCGAAGGGACGTAAAACGGAGCTTAAAAGGGGTCGTTTTAGCTGTCTGAACAATAGATTTTTCTGTGTGTAACAGGGACATTAGTGAGGTTTAAATCGATATGTGTGATGCGTAATGTGTGCCACTTTTTTCCATTGCTATTTATATGAAATAACTAGTTGTTTTTCAAGGCAATTGCATTACTTTTGCATGAGATTTAATATTAATATTGACATTTTTGACCTCATAATGCTGATATGCACGTGCATAAGTAATACATCGCACGCGTGTGCATTGCATTCGCTTCTAGTGCATTGAAATGTCGTGCATTCTCGTGCTGTTCAGGAGCGGAGTCCTTAAATAAGCTCTAATTGTGTTTGCTTGTTATGGTGGCAAATAGTCTGTTTAAAGATTCAGAGCCCGTTGGACATATTTTGGATGCAACACAAGCACGTCAGTTCCAATGTAACTCCGATTTGGTTCTCTTGTAGCCCGAAGGGACGTAAAACGGAGCTTAAAAGGGGTCGTTTTAGCTGTCTGAACAATAGATTTTCCTGTGTGTAACAGGGACATTAGTGAGGTTTAAATCGATATGTGTGATGCGTAATGTGTGCCACTTTTTTCCATTGCTATTTATATGAAATAACTAGTTGTTTTTCAAGGCAATTGCATTACTTTTGCATGAGATTTAATATTAATATTGACATTTTTGCGCGGATTCAGTGATCGTATTACTTGAGTGTGATGTGCTTTTTAATATATTGGTTGTGCTTTTGAAATTAAAACTCTGTCTGAGCCCAAACCATCACAGCAAGTGATTGCATATCAGTTTATAATCTTCGAAACTTCGTTTTCCATGCATATGCTGCTGGAGTAATGTGACTGTTCGTGGAGGGCCATTGTATTTGTGCGTCAGTTCCTCCGGTGGCCTGCAGGAGGCAGCATGGCTCACTCAGTGACTGTATGTACTGTATGCATGTGTACATCAGGTCTGATTTACATCCCAGCTGTGCTGCTCTTCATCAAGCCTGATCTTCATCGATGGCTCTGATCGGACGCGTGCAGATGTAAAGCAGCAGTGATTGATCAGCTCCAGCAGCAGCCTGTAGCAAGTTCTGAAGAATTAAGCATCAAAGATTTAAAGCAATAAGTGATTTTCTTACTCTGCTTTGTGTTGTACGTCCTCGAGTGTCTCATGGCTGTATTAAAACCTTAATAGCTACATTGAATAATTGATTAATATTAATAAAAACATTTCGTTCAGTAATATTCATTAGTCTCATCAACATTCATCAGTATTTGTGTATGGTTGCCAAGTAACAGCTTTGGACCAACCCAGTCCTGATTATTGTAGCAACAAGATATCACAAGATAATACCATACTGAATTACCATATTCAAATACTCTATTAATTACATGGTACTTCAAAGAATCCCATAAAAGTCTGTTCTTAGAACGTTCCCATTAATTTATGAAAACGTTACTTCTCAGAGCGTTCAAATTGTCCAGTTTTTTAAAAAATGTTTATTCTTGGTTATGCGAACTTTAGAGAAAACATCAAGGATTCAATGTTCAATTTTATAATTTTACAGATATTATGGGTTTTCTCTGAACCATCTGAATTGAGTAGTAAGTAGTAATGCTTAAAAACGTTAGCTAAAATGTTTCAGAAAACATTATGATAAGTAAATAGTTTTTGTGCTAATGTTTTGATAGCGAACTAATATAGACTATTATCATTACTGGAAGAATGTTTGTTCATAACGTTTCTATAACGTTTCCTGGGGTGCTGCCATGATTATCTATGTTTTCTGAGTGATTTCTCCTCTGTGTGAGTGTGAGTGTGTGTGTGTGTGTGTGTGTGTGTGTGCGAGTGTGTGTGTGTGTGGGTTTGTTCGAGTGTGTGTGTGTGTGTGTGTGTGTTCAAGTGCGAGTTTGTGTGTGTGTGTGTGTGTGTGCATGTTTATGTGGTTTGAGGACACACATTTCTATAATAACATGGGTATGAGATAGGTATTTCAACGAGAAGGTGATTTATGAGGAAAATGTCAGTGTCCCCGTAGTTCAAAAGGCTTATAAATAATTCAGAATGAGTTTTTTTGAAAATCTAAAAATGCACAAAGTCTCCTGTGAGGGGTAGGTTTAGGGGTAGGGTTGGTGTAGGGCAATAGAATATACGGTCTGTACAGTATAAAAACCATTACGCCTATGGAGAGTCCCCACTTTTCACAAAAACAAACCTGTGAGTGTGTGTGTGTGTGTGTTTGAGTGTGTGTGTGTGAGTGAGAGTGTGTTAGTGAGAGTGTGTGAGTGAGAGTGTGTGTGTGTGTGAGTGTGTGTGTGTTTGAGTGTGTGTGTGTTAGTGAGAGTGTGTGTGAGAGAGTGTGTGTGTGTGTGAGAGAGTCAGATCTCCTAACCCGTCGTGTGAAGTACTAACCGCACACGGTCAGAGGAGACTCCAGCTCTTTAGCATGCACGCGTGTGATTTATAAGCATCTCTCATCTCCAGCTATCATCGATTAGCACTGAGTAATTCCTGGACGTGCCATATAACTATAACACACATTCAGGTCTTCCGATAGTCTGATGATTGATGGCGTTCAGTGCCGCAGGGCCCGAGAGCCAGGGCCCGAGAGCCGCGGCCCGTCTGACTGACACGACTGGTGCTTTAATTCACCAGAAGACTCGCTCGTAAGTTTGAGGCGTCACTCAAAGTCTGTCCACTCGCCTCGACTGAGAACTCATCAAACAGGCTTGAGGAGGAAAAAAAAAAGAAATGCTTCAAACTGTCAGAAGTATGTCTTATTTTTCTTTCAATGTTCTTAAAATTGAGCATGCAGAGACATCATGAGTGAGTCATTAAAAGACTGAGAAGTTTTTAGAACAGCAGGTCTTGTGTTTGTCAGAGGACAGACTCAGAGATGCGTGTCTGTCCACCTGTGACGGCACGCTCTAATGACTGCCTCTGACTTTTACTCTGACAAAAACAACAGCAGGTCTTACTCGCGTCTAAACAACACGAGCTGTGCAACATACGCCGACTGCTTGCTTTATGTTTGTGTTGTTATTTGTTAAAGAGCAGGCATGAAATCACTCTGAGATGAATGTTTAAAGGAATAGTGCACACTAAAATAAACTGTCTTTACTTATAGCTGGTACAAATACAGAACAATGATTGTGTCCATGCAATGTGCTGCTTGAAGACGAGAAATGTTTGTCTCCAGTTAAGAAAACCTGTTGGTTTATTCTGAAACTGAAACTGCTGGTTAATTCTTTTAACCAGTTACTTAGAAAATTAATCTAAAAATGGTCATTCTCTCATCATTGACATCATTTACTATGTTCCAAACTGGTATGCAGTTTTATTTTAGCATCGAGAGATTCAGTAACAATTTTCGTAAAAATATTTTTTCTATCATTTTTGTGTGTGTCATTCTTATTAGTTTGTTTTTTAACATGTCTGTATAGGTTTTATAAATTTTTGCTTTAGTTTTAGTAATTTTATTCCAGCAAGATAAACTAAATGAAAATGAGAAAGGTTACCTTGCAACTAGCTAAAAAAAAGTTTAAGGCTGTTTTATATATATATATATATATGTTTACATTATTTTAATTTATTATATTTTAAGTTAGTTTTCTTAATTAAACTTAAAGGGGTCCTATTATGCTCTTTTACAAAGTCTTGATTTTGTTCTGGGGGTGTACTAGAACATGCTCTCATGCTTGGTGGTTGGAAAAACATATTATTTTTCACATATTAAAATTATTATTAAAATACCTTTCTCCCCAGGCTGGCACAAACGGCTCGATTAGTTCCGGCTTTGATGAAGCTCCGCCTTCCGAAAAACAAAATGTGTTGTGATTGGTTAGCTGTCCCGGTGCGTTGTGATTGGCGAACAGCTTAGACGGTGTTTCAGTACTGCCCCGCCCCCTGCTCCGTCTTTCAACAAAAGCTTTTGGGCGAATCCGACACTGTACTCCCTCGTGTTGTGGAAGCTGTCCTCAGTAAAATGCGCAGCACACAATAGCAAATTGGGGTTATAATGCTCAGGAACAGAGTTAAAAAGTAAATTGCAACCACTGTTTCCTGACATCATCCGCTTTCGGAAGTGAAAAAAAAACAGCGTTTCAGGCGGTCGCACACTGGACGAGAAGCGTAGCGTTGC